AGTCATAAATCACATTCAGAGAGAAAAGAGTTTGACTCAAGATTTTTTTATTTTATTTATAGAATTAAAACAAGACTACTATTGGGACAGTTTTGGGATTTTATATAATCTTTGTTATGATCATAAAAAATTAACCATAATATTGAAGAAGACCATATTATGATTATTATTCAATGGTGATTTTGGTATATAACCAAACAAAATTTTTTTTAAAATTAAGTAAAAGTGGGGTACATGGCAAAATCACGACTATTTGGGGTTTTTGGTTATTTTGTAAGTTATAATTTTTTTTGTATTTATAGCAAATTATCTCTGTTATTCAATGTGTGACTTTTTTACAAACAAATTAGGTGATTCCCTGAAACAACCCGACCCGTTTTCTCCTATATTAAGATCAGGGAGTGGAGAATTTAACTTGAAAGTTTCGCTCCGATCCGTTCTGTTTTTACTGGTCGTTACTCTCCTCTTCTAAAAACGGACAGAATTGCCACCAAAGCTTAAGAAACAAGAACACACAAGAATCTCTTCCTCAAAACTGTTTTTTTTCCTTTTCTCTCTAAAAAAACGCAGCTTCTCTATGCTGCTCGGCTTTTATACAGAAGCCTTAGGTCTCCATTAACCAAAACGCCAAACCGAAGATTAAAATCGAACCAACCGGTTCAATTCGACCTTCCAAAATTCTCAATTTTTGGTTCACGGACGTTACAGTCCCCGCATAAAACATGGATAAATATTTTTTTTCGTTAGTATCAAACTAATTAAATACGGATCTGACTGATATTGTAACATTTCTTATTTATTTCGGATATTTCGATTGGTGTTGTCTAGAATTTATTAAAGATTTTCATCTTTTAATTTTAGTATTGAAGTTATAAAGCTTTGAATATTTTTTTATAGAAATGTATTATTATATATCGTATAGTTTCGAATATTTTTTAATGTAAGTAGACCAATTTTGTGGAGATATTCTTAACGATTTCCATAGTTTCAAAATTGGAAATACTAAAATTTTGGATCTTGTTACCATCAATTAATCAAAATATAATAATTTTATTTAATTTGAGTATTACACAAGATCGCTATTATGGAGATTTTGTTAAATATTTTCATACTATTCAATTTGTAGTTGATGATACATAAATTTATGAGGTATTCTTAAATTTCGGATAGATTAATTTGTGTAGATATCCTTTAATAACGATTTTTTATATTTTTAATATTGTAAATAATGGTACCTAAATTTCGGATCTTGTAAACGTTAGAATGTGGTAATTCTTATCCAATACTAATATTTGCACAAGATTGTTATTGTGTAGATTTTGCTTAAGATTTTCATACTTATAAATTTAGAATTGATGATACGTATATTTCAGACCATAATAAATCCACTAATTAATCATACATCTAAAAATGTTAATTTTTTAATTGAAAGCGAATATTTCTAATTATTAAAGATTTTCATACTTGAAAATTAGAATTGATGATACATAGATTTCAGATCTTAATAATTCCAATAAGAAACCAAAAAATTTTTCTATGTGAAGATCCAAATTTACATGTAAGCAAAAATTACGAATAATTGGTAACTATTAATCCTTTAATCGTTTTATTTTAATTAATCGATATTTTTGATTGAACAGATTTTTTTGGAGATAAGTATATTTGACATATCTATTGTTTTAATTCGAGATAAAATGATTTGGTTTCCTTAGGTAACTTGAACATGGTAAAATGTTAATCTCCACTTTTTTTTTTACCTTTCGTACTTTTAAATTTGATATTATTGAGTTAAACTTGGTATAAGTGATTAATTCGATATACAAAACTAATAACATTATTATAATTCTCATCAATATTCTTTAATTTTTTTATTTAAACTCTTTTGTCTTGAACTAAAACAAAAAAACTAACCCAAATTGTAATACTTTATTCTAAACAAAAAAAGTTTAAAAGAATAAAATGGGAAAGAAGGAAACAGCAAAATCAGAGTCATATTTGGGAGTTGAAAATAAATGAACAAATTGGGAACACAATAATTCTTTTTGTGTCGTTGGCTCATTGTTTTCTAGTTTTATCTTCTTTGTAATAGAGTTTTGATCTTCAATCGAGCTCATGTATCGACTTCCTCTAGTCATCTTTGATGAAGGTGTTATTGATGATGACGGAGAAGTACGTGAGTCTTCTGTAGAATTTGTCAGCAGAAGTGGTTCTTAAACAATTAAGTAAAGATGAAATGTAGTTATTCACAAGGTATTATGCTTAAAATAATAAAAAGAAAAGAACTTCAAAA